TGTCAAGGCCACCAAAAACCCCCTGCCGCTGTGCCCCCGCCCTGCCACTGTGTCCCCAGCCTCCCACTGAACACTGTGGAAACTTCTAAGTACAGTTGCATTGCTTTTTAAAATATAATCAGTTTGGCTTCTAATGATACACCAAGCTCTGTTGTTTTGTTGGTGGGTTTTTGGCTGGTTTTTTTTTTTCCTAAAGCTTTTCTCCAGTTTCATAAAACATACCTTTTAAGACTGTATACCTAGAAGGCTTCAACACCCAGGCTGTCAACTTGTTGTCACCTCATTTTGTGGTCTTGACTTTGTCTGAAGTAACCTACCTTCCTGCTGTCCCTCCTGACTGTTGTCACCTTCTAAAAGGAAGCACTTGCCCACCTTCTGTGTGGTGGTTCAGGAGCTCCGGCTAAGTGGTGTGCATGAGGGCCAAGGTGCAAATTGCTGATGGGCATCCAGGGAGGCATGCCTCACAGCCTGTCCCTGCCCGGCCCCCTCATTACAGAGTTACAGGAGCGTGGCCAGAAGAGGGAAAATTTAACTAGACCTTGAAAAAAAAAAAAAAAAAAAAAAAAAAAAAATCTGCATCTCTCCTTACAGATTAACAGCACTGACTTCATCCACTGCAAGGAACTTGTGGATCAAGAGCTAATGCGCTTGCAGCCATCCAATGCTGTGTATATTTTCTGTCCCACCCATCACGCCATCCAGGGCTGTCCCAAGGCAAGGCTGCCCTACCACGGCCCTTCTGGATTGAGGAATTCCCTTCAAGAGAGGTTGAGGGTCGCCGTAAGCCAGCCAGTTTTAGCACCTTTCACGCCGACTGCAGCCCCAGTTCCTGATGAGATGGTGGAGACTGACGACTACTACGATGGATTCAGACACCTGTACCGTGAGGAGGGGGGTGGGAGCGTGAGCGCGGGTGGGCCGTGCCCCCAGCCCAGGGCTGGAGGAGGCAGCTCCCCGTGTCCGCCCCTCCAGCCGCCTGACAGGGACTGGGGGAGAGTCGCTGCCGCGGGAGCAGCAACTGCAGAACCAGTAGGTCCCGGCGAACAGAGCGGCCGACGCAACAGAGCAAAAGTGCTGTCAGAGGATAACGATGTTTAGTACTGCCTATTCTGTATGTCCTTCCCAAGCGGCGTGTGCTGCCCCTCAGTTTGTAACATCATTTAAATACAGGAAGCTGGGGAGAGGAGGGACTTGGGCACAATCCTACAACTCAGGGATCCAGTTGGCAGAAGGCACCAGAACTGCACCAGAGAGAACTAGGCATCTCAGTTTATTTTTAAAGTAGCCGTATGAAGTGTGACAGATGGAGCCTTTCATCCCACTCCCTCCATTGTTCTCTCATTAGAGCTAATCTGATGTGCCTCGTGGGAGAGCCAACAGGAGCTGCTTTCGAGGCAGGAGCAGCTCTGTACGAGCGGTCCTCAGGGAGGAACCAAGGTTTTGCTTTAGAGAACCAAACCTTCGTTTTTCTACAGCCTTACCCTGGAGTCCAGGGTGCCAAGGGCTGTGCTCCTTCCTGCTTAAGCCACTAAAGACCAGTCCCACTTCCTGTGAGCTGTGGGAAATCGCTTCTTGTCCGCAATCACTGTTGCCTTGGGCCCACACCACCCAGCATGTGCCGTTCAGAGTCGTTTTAATTTATTCTTACGGGACTGGACAACACAAAATGCCTTTAATTAATCCCTCCCTTCATTTTTATTAACTGCTAATCTCCATAGCAAAGCAGTTTTACAAACTACAAAGGTCAGTTTGAACCTCTATTGCACTTTTAAAAGCCAGCCTTACACATTCTTTTCAAATAAGTGTTTTCTTAGTTGTTTTGGTTTTGTTTTAAAACAGCAGGGCCAGCATTTTCAGGTTATCCTAGTCTGAAGGTGTAATCCAGGCAGTACTGGATGAGTAACACCAGCAGAGCTGCCAGTCCTGTTACAGAACAGGAAGGGGTTCCACAGAAACTGCACAGGCTAAACGCTAATGATGCAGGATAAATAAATAGGGGACAGGGCTGAGACAGGAGCAAGGAGACCCTCCTGCTGCCTAACAGCAGCGCTCCTCAGTGCCGGAAGAAAGTTTCTGGCCTTCCTTCCCTTGCGCATCATCTTACCTCATAGGAGAGCAATTCCTGAAGGCTGAGCTGTGCAGGAGCAACATCCTGAGCAGCTCTGCTAACAGATAATGCTTTCTAAAGGATTGCATTTGCCAGGACTGGCACCGAGAACAGAGCAAGCTTTGTGCGTGTGCAGGGAGAAAGCCTTTTCTTTTTAAACAGCAAAGAAAGGGGTGCCTGAGTGTTCCAGAAAGAAACAGTATCAGAGACTTAGTGCAATGACACACGTGAGCAGATGCGACTTGAGCCAGCAGTGACTTTGAGCCAGAGCTGCCAGGAGCTGTGAGCACTATGGGGGGAGCCTCGGCCCTGGCCCGGGGATGCCGCGGGAGCGGGGCTGGGGTTCTAGACCAGCCGAGGTTTACGAGGTGCCATGCAGCCGGGGCAGCGGCACGCTTGGGGTATGGTACTGATTCAGGGAGGGGTTTCATTCTGTGGTGGGGCTCTTCCCTCCCCCAGTGCAGCACCTTCCCTTTCTATCACAAGCTGGCTGATTTTTTTTTGAAGGAGGCAAGTTGTCTTTTGTAGTTTTCACTAAATAAAATAGAAGTTTGGTCTGCACGTTCTTAGTGTGCTCCTTGAAGAGTCCGGCCACAAGCCCACAAAGGTCCCTGCAGGAAGGTGGGGTCTGGTTCTGCTTTTCCTCCCAGCCCTTTGCCCCATCTCAGGCATCTTCACCAGCTGCGTTAACCAGTGGAAATGTGAGCAGAAACATTCTACACCTGGTAATTAACATGCGCTAACTTTGTACCACAACCACCGTAACCTCATGGTTTTCCCCCAGCTTTGAGCCCAGGTACATACTTTCTTACACGTAAGGTGGATGGCACATTAAAAACCATGAACAAACCTGCTTTTCAAAACCTCTGCACAGCTATATGACCAACATTCAAAAGTATACATTAATAAGGGGTTCATTCTAAAAGACAAAGTCAGTATGAAAGGCCCATCAGGGTCCTGCGTTCCCAGTCGAGGTGCAAGATGCCATGCTGGGATGGAACTGGAGCCTGCCTGCTCTCCCAGGATCTGCTGCCTCCCTCCGGCAGCGCGGGTCCCTTCGGCACACTGATGCCAGCGTGGAGTCACAACAAGGGAACACACGCTCGTGGCTTGGCCTCGGCAGGTTAAAAGTGCCGCTTACCTTTGCGTTCCCATCATTACGAACAGCGCTTCCTGCCCCAAAGAACAAGCTGCAAACTTCAGGAAGAAGCTGCTGTTGCAATAGGATCATTCTCATTAGGAAAAGAGCATTTTTGATAGCGAGAGCTGCACAAATTCCCTTCTCGCTGGCAGAACAGAGTCTGAGGCTGTTCATGTCCTTCCTGCACTGCCTGGATGAGTAACGAGTGCCAAGAGCCGCCGGCGCACACCCAGGCGGCGGCAGTACCGGCAGCAACCGCTCTGCAAGAGTTTCGGCAATGACGACTCTCACGTCTGTGCCTGCTCAGATTGTGCAGAGCCCGCGTGCTACAGACACGAGTTTATTCTCCCTGTAGCTAAACTCACCGCTGTGGATCCTGTAACCATTTTGCTACACACCGGTTACTGGAGAGAAGGTACCAGGTTCAGCCGGCACAGCGAGTGCTGGCACAGATTTGATGTATTCAGGGCTACTTTTGTGAGGATTGCTGTTTTGGGGAATATTTGGCCCGTGTAAAACTCCAGAGAACATTTACAGAGTATTTTCAAAGAGCTCTTACAGTGTCTCATCTTGACCTGGCAAGGAAGAGGAAGGCTGCTTCCTCCCTCTCTGGGCAGGGGCACAGCTCCCGTCCCGGGCTCTGGCCCTCGGCAGAGCAGCGAGGGTGGGTTTGTGCCTGCGGAGCAGGATGCGTCCCGCTGCGGGGCCTTGGCCAGGTGAGGCACAACCCTCAACCCGGGCGCTCCCGCTGCTGCCTTCCTTCAGACCAGGCTTCCTGAAGTCCCCACCGCCTCGTAAAGCTGCAGTTACACCTGAGGTCCCTAAATCCATCCACAGAATTAGTTTGTCCTTCACGAAGTTTCCTTGCTGCACACAGATGCTCAGATTCTGAATCGGAGCCAAAACGTAAACCAAACATTGAATCACCTACAGAGACAGTGAAGCAATTCAGAGCCACCCCCCGCCGCTGCCACCTCGCCCGTTCATCAGCCACCACCGAGAGGAAACGCGCCAACAGCTACAGCAAGTCGCCCAGGAACCGCTGCGTGCAAGGACGAAGCCGCCTTGCTGCAGGGCAACGTTCGCTGGAGGGTTTGGGATCATAGCCCTGACTCGGTATCACTGCCTACGGTGGGCGATGACCTAGAAGAAGAGTTCATTTACACGGCTGCAGAAATAAAGAAATAAAATTAAAGAAATAAACTTCTGTGGTCAGAGAATTGATCAAGATACGAGAAAACAGTAGAGGGAAGAGTAATACAGTAGTTGTTTCACCGTGCTACGGGTTTCTGACAAAATTTGCTGATGTGTGAAAGAAAGGCACAGAAGCGATAAACAGCCCGAGCACCGGGACGGCAGAGAGATCTTTCAGAGCAGCCCGCAGGGTGTCACCGAGAGCGAGTGCTTTCTGACGCCTACAGAGCCTTTTCTGTGTTTATTCCGTTGGGCTTCCTTTCCATCGCATTGGTGGGGTTGCCTCTGCTGGGTTTTGTTGTTTTTGTTGTTGTTTTGGGGTTTGGGGGGTGGTGTGGTGGTTTTTTCCTAATTGGCTTTACTATTTTAAATTCAATTTGAACAGTACTTACAGTTTGATTCTTTCAGAATGCAGAAAAGTACACTTAGAGCAAGTGATGTATTAAATCCTGGCAGGTCTCAGCAGCTCCCCCTCATTCTTCCTCAGCAAGACGTGCAACTTGAACCCCACTGGTGACCAAACTACGGTCACGGCAAACAGAACTTAATGAAATCTTCTGAGAAATTTGGAAAAAAATTGAAGAAAGCTTTTATTCCCAATTTACCTATCCAGATGGGAATCTAACTCGACAATAGCTCCAAACCGGATAGAAGCTTTGCCAAAGGAATTAGATTGGTTTGCCTCAAAGAGAACACAGACAAGTTTAACAGAGCGATCAAAGCAGCAGCAAAGGGTTTGTCATTGCTCAGCACCGCTGCCCCAGCTTCCCTCCTGTGCGGTGCAGGGCAGACAGACGTGAGGACAGGCAGAGCCACCCTAAGCAACTTCCAGCTCTGACTCCACGGCCACCGAGAGGTGGCCCGGTCAGACCCTGGCTGCTTCTCGCCCCGTCCCTCCTCCTCTGCAGCACCGGTGCCTCGTCCCTGCCCGCTGCAGCAGCGGGCACGGGCAGGGATGAGCCACGTGGGATGAACACGCTTGTCACGGGGTTTAGATCCCACTGCCTGCAAGTGGCAGGAGTCTCCAGAGCTTCCCTGCATGCCCAGTTTGGTTATTTTCAGGCCACCTACCTGTTACCTGCTGAGATTTATTTCCACCTTCTAAGTTATGCCAAGGGCTTCCAGAGATTTCGGTGTCATGTACAACGCGCCCCGGGGACAGAAGCTCAGTGCCTGCGGCAGTCAGTGCCTCTACGCCATCCTCTCCACCTCAACAAGCTCCTGGGTGGGGATGGAGACCCAGCTCACGCAGTGGGACCCTCGCTGCGCTCCTGCCCCCCGCCCCGCAGTTCACAGCCAGGTCTCATCCTGCTCCGGTCACGCCACCCAGCACAAGGGAGGGGCTCGGGGGTGCAAGATTCCTTCGAAGCTCCTGCCAAGGGCTGAGCTTTCTGCTGGTCCTACACCCCAGCCCCGTGGCAGGACGCACCACGGCACCAGGACAAGCAGCGGCTTGGAGAAGGGGCGGGACGGGGGGGTTCTGCTGGGGACACACAGGGGACAGCACACGTTAAACACAGACATACGGGGTAGGGTTAACTGGGGGAACCTGGAGTAATAGCGAGGGCTGTGAATTTGGACACAGCG